AGGGAAATCCAGTCAGCTCTTTTTATCTCCTTATGTGTTGACTTCCAGAGGAGTTAATGAAGGAAGCCCCATCAACGCCATTCCCAAGGACTCAAACCCCAGACTGCTTAAAAGGCAGGAAAGGGAGGGGGCCTCCGAGGTCCCAGTATTCATCTTCCCGGGCTCCCTGACCATGACAGTGTAACTAGCCTCCCAGGTCTCCCATTGCCACACCTCCCTTGCAAAAATGCACTTTACTCCCCCAAACCATGTGCCGAAGCAATTCTTCCTTAAGGTTCACTTGTCGTGTGTCTTGTCTCAGCAGTGACAAAACACAGCCCCTGTTGCTAAATAATGAAGCAATAGTGGGCTTGAATGTTAAAACAAATATATTCTGCAGTTAATTATGAGCACAAGTTTCATTGTGTGTGTGAGTGAGAGAGAGAGGGGGGGAGAGAGAGAGAGAGAGACAGAGACAGAGAGAGGATATAACAGGTGCAGAGAGTTGAGGTCATCTTACCTCTCAGTACTGGGCACGCCAACCTTACCCTACACTCAGGTTTGCCTAATTTACCCTATATTCCCTTCTACGCTCCTCTCCCAGAAAATAAACAACCATGTTGGTGGTTTCTCTCTTGGGTTGTGTTTGCATTAATATGGTTTTCTCTGAAGAAAACTTACGTCTTTAAGTTGGCTTAGAGCCACACCATCTACAGCATGGCTACAGGGAAGTGGGCATGACGGGGGCAGTGGGGGAATAGGAAAAGGCATTCCAACAGACACATGCACAGAAAAGCTGGAGTCAGGTGGTCTGAGATCTTTGTTGGAGAAGCCACACCCCTGGGAAGCTCAGTGCATTTCATCATAAACAACTGAATGGTGTGTGTGGTGGTGGTGGGTTATTTTGTACAGATATACAAGAAGCTAGGGTTTATGGTGTACAGCTGGGTCAAGAAAGCAGGTTTAGCTTATCTCTGTAGGGCCATTCTCTGTGGGGTGTAGCACGAGTTCTAATAGGTCTTAATAATAATAAAAGCCCGAAGTCAGACATAGGGGGAATGCTGAAATCAAAGAGACGAAGGGGCAAGCCACAGCCACAGCTTACCTTGCTAACTAACTTCCCAGCTGAAAAGAGAGTGAGTTCCTGCCTCCTTCCGCCTTAACATTTGCTCTCTCCACCCAGCCAGTTCACTTCCTGCCTGTCTGTACAGACCTCCCGGGCTCTATGGTTAACTAGTGGCTAGCTCCGCCCTCTGATCGGCAGGCAAGCTTTGTTAGAGTATAAGCAAAACATCGCAACAGTAGGGAAGCAGTCTTCAGGCCATAAATATCCAGGGGACAAAGCTATAGTGGGACATTCTCTGCAGGCACTATCAACACCACACGTGGATGGGGTGGATGGGGGGGACCACTTTGCAGTTTTCCTCCATGGGTCTGTGGCTCTGAGATCCTTGATAGAACTGTGTCCGTGTCCACTTGATATGACCGTGCCTGTGTCCACAGCACGATTTCATTCTGGACTTCATTCACTCAGGGCTTTCTCCATTCCCAGCACAGCGCTACCCCTGAACAGCAACTGCAATGGAAGTTCGACGGTAACTAAGTACAACCTGACTTAAGAACATACTCGTGTTAGGTGACCAAGTTGTAGTCGGTCAGGTTGGCAGAGCACTACCCAGTCATAAGCTGTCGGTTAGACTAGTTCCTACTACGCAAATTCTTCGATGTACCTTGCCTAAATAAGGCAAAGGCTGCTGTGACCAATCAAGCTGGTCTGTATGTCACCGCCCTTTACTGCTTATAAATCTCACATTGCTGGATGGAGTGCTCCGAGCTGACACAGCTTAAACAAAGTATATCCAACTCATGAATCCTTCTCTTCTCAAATAAACTCTGCCGAGCTCAATTTGTCTAAACTTAATTTATCTAAAAGTATTTACAATAAAATTCCACTATGTTTGTGTCTAACCCATCATTCTAACTACTGTACAATATCTTCTATGACATGTCCACCTTCCCTGTTTAACTTTTATACTTTCCTGGTGATGAATTCTCAAATTACAATGGATCTGTGAGGGAAATATTTGCAGAAATATGAAGCTTTTTGAGATATAACACTGGAGGAGAATTTTCAGGACACATGTTTGACTGATTATTGTTCTGGAAGGACTGAACCAAACTATTTATAACTCCACAAGTATGGTATGCAGTGCCTCTAGCCACACATCCAACCTCCTTGCCTCTCCAGGCTTTTCCTTTTGTCAAACAAGCTTTATCGTGTGTGTGTGTGTGTGTGTGTGTGTGAGAGAGAGAGAGAGAGAGAGAGAGAGAGAGACAGAGACAGAGACAGAGACAGAGACAGAGAGGCAGAGAGAGAGAGAGACTGCATCTTTGTGTGCAAGTTGCCTGCAAATGCCAGAGCACACATCTAATCTGTTGGACCTAGAGTCATAGGCACTTGTGAGCCACCTGATGTGGGTGTTAGGATCTGACCTCCAGTCCTCATGCTAGAATAGCCAGCACTCAACACACAAGCCCTCTCTCCAACCCCACCTGTCCAGGTTTTTGTTGTGGCTGTTAGTCTAATTGATATTAATGTTTATCTCATTTTGATGTTATTTCTATGATTCCCATCCATCTGACATTTTTATTCTGAATTTAGTTCTTCCAAGGACATAGAATGTCTTCTATTTGTTCAGATCATTCCCTAATTTACTTAATAACTTATCTATTACTGTGATTAGAATATTTATTTAGGTTGTTTATAAGAGGGGGGAAAAAGGGAGACCCAAGCTATTTATAGAGCTCATGGATCAAACAGGATGTATAGTGTATATTATGTTTCCCAGATCAGGAGGATAATGAGTTTGAGGTCAGGCTAGGCCACATAGTAAAAGACCCTATCAAGAAGAGAGGAGAGGAGGAAGGGGCAGAGGAAGGAATGAAGAAGGCCTGTGGGACAAATGAAAAGGAGAGAATGACTGCTTGAATGCTCTGATGGGAGATGTCATTCTATATATGTGTCTCTTATTGGTTAATGAATAAAGCACTGTTGGCCAATAGGAAAGCAAGATAGGCGGGACTAGGAGACAAGGAGAGAGGAGGGAGTAGGAAGGAGTCAGCATGAAGAGACTTGAGAGAACAGAGATCTAGGCCCTCTCTCCGGTAAGATGAAACCACATGGAAATACTTAAATTAATAGAAATGGGTTAATATTTAAGACGGAGCTAGCTGATAAGAAACTAGTAACTGGCCTACAGCTTTATATCTAATACAGCCTCTCTGTGTGTTATTTGGGGCTGGCGTAGCTGTGGAACCAGACCGGCAGGCGGGAAAAGCATACTCATAACAAATGCTCTGAGGCCTGCTTTGCCCTCTGATGTCCTTTGACAGATTTAGACCCACAGCCAGGAGCTCAAAGAGCATTTAGAGAAGAGTTAGAGCAGCTTCCATGATCATTCCTGCTTAATCTTTCCTGGACAACAATAGACTTTAAGACTAAGCTATAGATTGTGTTCAAGTTTCATAATATCCAATCCATGACTTCACTTTCAAGTTGTTTTCCAGTGGCAGGGGTGGGTAGGGAATGGGTGAGAAATAGCACAGCTTCATGGTCAGTGTCTTGCAGCCCAGCTGTGATGGCAGGATGTTGCCCCCTCAGAATTGAGGATTTTGGCAATCACCTCTATCCAATTTTTGGAGAGGAACTTCCTCTCCAGGAATATGAGGACAGTCTAGCTTGTATGCATCATGGAGCCTAACAAGCTTCCACTTTTGATTGATTAACTAGAGATTGGAAATGATTTTTATATAAAATCACTCAGTGGAAAGTGGGGGGGGGGCCAATATCTAGAGGTAGGTTGAAGACTTCTGTTTTGTCAAGAATTCTCCAGGTGCTTCTGCTATTCAACTAAGCTTGGGAGCTGCAACAGGCTAGGCTATTCTGTGCCATAGGCTACCTGCCACTGAGCTAGACAGTTGCACTCTTAACGTGTTCAGCAGCTGCCTCCCAGCTTCGAGATAACCACTTTCTACTGCTGTGACTCGGGTGCCTCCTCTGCATTCAGAGAAGAGAGAAAGCCCTGGTGGAATCTCCACCCACACCCTGGACTGATGCTACACCAGCAAGCCGGTTATTACATTCTTTTGTAAACTTCAACATTACACTGGCATCCTTTTCAGCGATCCAGACAAATCAGAGAGACCTAAAGCATCCTCTCAGAACTTTTCAGATAATACCTGTGTTTGGGAGTGTGCTGTGCTCAGTTAATAGCAATGGCTGCTGGTACTGGGAAGGGTATAATTCTTTCCTGGATTATAGGAACTGCAGCTCATGCAGAGAGTCCTTTGTGATGGAGACCAGTCAGGTTTTATGGACTTCTCTGCTATTTGCTCCAGTACACTTTGAAATGCAGGGTCAGCTCACGGGGCTACATCATGCAATAATAATACATTTTTATAGGTGTAGCTTGTCAGAGAAGCAACAACATGCAATACATAAAACCAATAAATGCGGGATGTCTACAGTTCCTCTCCGAGTAACCAAGTAAAGCAATAAAATTGACAGCAGACATCAAAAAATTCCCTTCGTGACTCTGTGGGGAGAATTTACTGTTGCTTAATACAGAGGAGATGTCACTGAGCCTTGGATCAGTGTGACAAAGGCAGTTAGGCCTTGCCAAGGCTTGAGATGTTGGGAACCTCAGTGTAATGCACTGATAGCAGAGAATTTCTACAAGACATTTTGGATTTTCCAAGATGTATACTAAGTATTATAGAGCGGTAGATTCACAATTAGTACCTTCCATCTTCAGTTTACTTCTGTAAGGCAAGAATCAACTGATATCATACAGAATAGACGGGCAGCCCAATGAGTTGGTGTTTTCTTTCTTCTTATTTATTTATTTATTTAGCTTCTTTATGGACTGTTTGGGAGTTTCACATCATGCCCCCCAATTCTGCTGACCTGTTGGTCCCCCCAAATCCTCCCCTTATCCCTGCCACCGCCCCCCCCCCACACACACACAAGGAAACGAAGTAAGCAAGCAATGGAGCAAAAAAAAAAAAAAAACAGAAACCACACCAGAGAAATCCCTTGCTTCTCAGTCCCTCCTGCCCTCCAGCACCTCTTCCTTTGTCCTGGTGGCACTGGAGGCTTCAGTGTGCCATGTAGTACACCTCTTTGCTCCAACAGTTTCACTGGAAAAATGTCCATTGCAATGAGACACTGGTTTGGTTCAAGTCCACAGAGATGCTAGAATCCTCAAATGATCAAGTCCTTTATACAAAAACAGAATAGGATAGTATTTTCATGGAACTCACATAATCTTTGCATATGCTTTTTATTGTCTACTAACAATATATTACACAGTATATATGCTGGGTAAATAGTTATATTGTTCAGGGAATGATGAAATGAAAAAGTATACATATATTTAGTATCCATGTTTTTTTTTTAAATATTCCCAATCTATTGTTGGTTAAATCTCTGAATTCAGGGAACAGTAATTGTAAACATCACAGACACTGACTTTCAACCAGCAATTCAGACTTCAGGAGAATCTGCCTGCATCAGAAGGAGTTGGGGACTTGGGAGGGATTAAGTTGTGACATTGTCAACTATCTTGTCCTCTCTGTCTATCTGCATTCAATAGCCCACATTGTCTGTCACTGTCACACCCTCTGGGAATACCCCTGGACTGAGCAGAAATCTCTTCTTCCTTATCATGTCCCCAACAGCCAGTGTGCAGGGACACATAAACCCACAAGGTTCCATTGTGGAAGTGTTCAATATTGTCCAAGGGGAACAGGCTTTGGAAGGCCAGCCTGGGAACAAGACATGATTCATCTCCCTGCTCCTGTGGGAGACAGGTCCACAGCCCACCTCTAAGTTTGCAACTCAAGAGCCAGAATAGCAGACAGGGAATGGGGACCTCCTGGTTGTGAGATGGATGAAATCCTACCTTCAGATATGTATGGGTGGGGAGAGGCTTTAAAAGTTTTGTACTGTTGGCACCCTAGGGGCCTCTCAAGACCTTAGAAAGCAAATAATTGAGGTAACTAATAGAATCTAGTTGAGAGCAGAATGTATTACTTTGTCTTTTCTTTTAAATTCATTGTAGTTTTTTACTTTTTTGTCATTTAAAATGAGCACTGAGACTTTGCCAGGGGTCTAACTTTCCCAAATGGCTTAATTACAGAGAGCTCAGCCTCAAGCAAAATGTCAGAAGTCTGAGAGAGAATGGAGGGACAGGGTTGGCCCCAGCACAGAGGGGTAGGGCAGGAGTAGGGGGTGGGTGACGAGTGATGCTTTCCTTTCTCAGATGGGTGGGATTGTTTGGGGGCTTCAGTGAATGTGAGTCACATTTCACAGCTGAAAGTGGTTCTGTGTCTCATAGCAGTGCCTAGTCCTCCAGCTCCAGCACCATGGAAAGCTCAGTGAAGGCCAGCCCAGCACTAGGAAACAACTGAAAAGTCCATTCACCTGGACATGACAGTTTCTTCACTTGGGACAATTTTGCTGAGCACATTTATCTGCCTTCTCGGGAAACCTTGAGCTAAATGTGTTGGTATTTCCACCTGAGAAAATATTTCACTGCAAAAATCAATGCAACCGTGAACAAAGACAAGAATACAATGAGAAAGAAAATGCCCACAGCTGTGATACCACAGGACAGCGTGACATCAGATAGTCTGACTCCCCTCAGCAATGGAGGATTTGCACAAAGAGTGTCCTCTGTGTCCTCAAGTTTTTGCATGTTTTCTTTGTACCATTCTAAGAAGTAAATATTTGAGCAAGAGCAGTCCAGTGGATTTCCTCTTAAATTAATGGTTCTCTGCTGGGACAAGATGGGGAGGAGACCGGATGGGATGATGCCAATGCTGTTGGAAGCTAGATTGAGGTAGATCCCCTTAAGATGACTAAGAGCCTCAATGCTATTGGATGTCAGCCTGTTGTGACTCAGGTCTACATGATTCATTATCTTAAGACTGATAAAGGCTTGCTGGTCTATGGAGGACAGATCACAGAATGATAAAATTAGGGTCTCTAGGTTTTCCAGTGTCTGAAGTGGGTTGGTCTTTTGGATATTCCCATCTGGAAAGTGATTTCCCCCAAAGTTCAGATACTGGAGCACAGGAAGGCCATCGAGGAGATGCTGATTGCTGGCGTCAAGGAGGCAGTGGGATAGATTTAGAACCTTCAGAAGGTGGAGGTTCTGGAAGGGACTTTGTGCAGTATCTACCCTTAATTGGGTAAATGCCAGGTCCAGGAGTTCTAGCTGAGGACACTCTTGGAAAGCCTCTGACTTCAGGCCCAGGGGTTCATTATAGCTCAAGTTTAGGCTTTGTAAGTGAGACAGGTTTTTGAGTTGCAGGTTGCAGCAGTCAGAAGTTTGGATGTCATCATGGCTTAGATCAAGCAGATGAAGATTTTCTAGGTTTTCTAAACAGCCAGTACCAAGGTCAAGTCTCCTCATGTTACCCTTGAGGTACAGGTGTGTAAGGGAGGGAAAATTGGAAGCATTGATTTGACACAAGTTAGCAAACTTATTTGCACTGAGAACTAATCTCTTGAGGTTTGTTAGTCCCACAATCCCAGAGGGTAATTCTTTCAGGTGAGTGGCTGTAAGGTCCAGTTCCCGGAGACTGGTAAAGCAATGAAATGTATTGGATGAGATGTCGAAAAAGTGATGCTTCTGCAGGTACAGGCTCTCAACAGACATTTCACAGAGACCCTCAAACACAGAGGAACTAATGTCTTCATCATTAATGTCCTCAAAGGTCCCCAGCCAGAGAGACCTGACAGTGGAGTTCTGCAAACCTTTGAATATAACCTGCAAATCAAGAGTCCCTCCAAAGTCCAAACTTTGGAAGACAGTTGACTTGAAAGCCCCAACCTCTATCCCTGTGATGCCATTTCCCTTTAAGTTAAGGCTCAGATTAGTGGCCTGCTGTAGAGACTCCATATCTTCTTTAGACAGGTAATGGATAGCATTATTTTGAAAATCCAGAACCTTGAGCTTCTCCATTGGGAAGTCTTTGGGGAGCTTAATGGAGGAAATATGGTTGCTTCCAAGATGTAGACTTTCCAAGTTTTTCAGATTGTGCATGGGGATGAAGTCAAGACTGGACATTCCTGTTTGGATGAAGAACAGGTGTTTCAGTGACTTGGGTCCATTAAGTGCTGTTTCTGCCATAAATATCAGGGGATTTGCAGTTAGCACAAGTGTGTCTAATTGATGTTGGCTTTGGAAGGTATCTTCATGTATCCAGTAAATCTGGCACCTCAAAGAAATAAGACCATTTAGCAATCACTTGTACAGACATCAGCAATGGATTGAGTCATCCATTGTGTGAAACAGCAAAATAGCATACCTCAGTGCAAAGTAAAGGAGAACTTTCCTCCACACACACAGAATAGCTTGTTGGGTTGATGAATAACCTTAGCTCTGAATATTCTGATTTAGAATTTATTCTATAGTCCTTGCCCCTTTAGAGTGAAGACTCCGGGATTTTTGTTAATGTAAGGAAAAGACCCAGTGATTTAATTGTATGAGTTACTATTTAATTTAATATAAAATATACCACATATCCTATCTATCTCTCTCTCCTTCTACCCCAACCTCTCCCCCTACACACACACACAACACCATGGACAAGATACAACATTTATACATTTATTGGTCTTTTTTCGGGGGGGGGGCCTAGTTTGTAAAGATTGAATCCAGGTCCTAGCACAAACTAAGCACACAATCGACCACTGGGCTATAGTCTTGCCTTGTGTTTTCATCAGTCAAATATAAAAGGAGTTTATGAAGAACTACTGTGGGTCAAAGGATACATGGGAAAATGCTCCCTGAACCAAAGAACAGTAAAGTCTCAGAAAACGCCATCCTGGAAACCCTGGACTGATTACACACCTGTGCACATGGATACAGGCCGCTTTGTTGGCACATATGCATGTGATAGTTCCTCATCTACCCACTACTGGGTGGTGATGCTTATAAACATGAGGGTACATATAAACATGGTACTTATAAACATGAAGGATTGCTACGGCGGTGTGTTCTCCCACAGGAGCACAAAGAGCAGTGTGGAGAGCTGCTAGAAGGGACGAGGTTGTCACAAAAGCATCGGCCTTCTTTCCACACGTATGCTCTCACTGGCTGTTGATACCTCTGCCCCTTTGTACTCAGCATTCAAATACGACTTTCTGGCTATATTTCAGCAATTAGAATCATGAGTCTGCCTCAAGAACAGATAATAGAATTCTTAATTCAGTTTGTGCAAAACAAATCAATAAAATGTTAATAGAAGCCAGATGTAGGAGTGTTTGCCTTCCTTTAATCCTAGCCCTAAGGAGGCAAAGGCAGGCAAATAACTTTAAGTTCAATGCCAGTGTGGTCTACACAGTGAATTCATGGAGAACCAATACTACATAAAGAAGTCATGTCAAAAAAAAAAAAAGCCAGAATAAAGAAAGAAACAACAAAACAATGTGAATAGAGGCATCTATGAATTTCTTCTAAAATAATGTCATTGCCCAGTAACAGCCAACTATGTTAACATGGTTATTTTATCCTTACATATTAACATGTGAAGTTAAATACATAAGCAGCATAATATGGCATCTGATTTGGTCAAGATTTACTTTTCATTTTTGCCATCAATACCCCTTAGAACAGTGGTTTCAACCTTCCTGATGCTACAATCCTTTAATACAGTTCCTCATGCTGTGCTGACCCCCAACCATAAAATTATTTTCATTGCTACGTTGTAACTGTGATTTTGTTACTGTTATGAATTGCAATGTAAATATGGTATGCAGGATATCTGATATGTGAGCCTTGGGAAAAGCTCATGCCACACCCAAAAGGGTTGTGAGCCACAGGTTGAGACCACTGACTTAGACCTTCCTAAACAGCACCTGAAGCAGAGTCCTTTCCTCCTAGTTGACTGGTCTTACTTTACAATACATCTTAGTACCAGAAATGTGGTCCTTGGGGGAATATAAATACACAGAGATTCCTGGGATATAGAGTACGCTTTTGCTTAAGTAAAATGTCAAGAGCATGCGAGGAGCTGTAATACCTACCTGGTTAAATCAAGAAAGGTGAGATTTACAAGTCTGCTGAAGGTCGTGTTTTGAATTGTAGGCAAGAAATTAAAGCTGAACTCCAAACATTCTGTTGAGTTTGGTAGAGTGCCAGGAATTTCGCTGAGACCTAAATTTTCACAGTTGTATGTTTTGTTTGTTTCTTTCTGATGGGAGAAGCAATACAAATTAATATTGGACTTAGTAATTTGACTCACTATCTAGCAAAATTATGTATGATTTACCTTTTGAGGAGCAGTCCCAAGTGTAGTAATCTTTCCCAAAACTATACTTGCAAAAACACATAGTGCTTATGCACAATCATATTCATTACAGGTTTCTAATAACAATAAAGCACTCACTCTTGATTAGACTATGATTCAAATAAATCAGTGGGTAAAAGACATTTGTAGTCCATCAGAGAACTCTGAGTGATAGGATTAGATGATATTAAGAAAATTACACACTTTGTTAGCAAGGCATTGGTTGTAAGCTAAAATGTGAGGGTACCCCTCTAGTTCAAGCACATTGGAGACAGTCAGGAAGATTATGGATTCAATGATTATGTGAACTACACAAAAAACAAACAACCCTCAAACAAACAAGCAATCAAAAACCAAGGGTGTTTTCTAGCTTGCCCAAGTCTGAGTTCAATCCTCAGGACTGAGAGAGAAAAAGATTGTCAATAGCCACATTATCAGTATGAGTCTTGCTGAACAAAACATGATAGATACTCCCTAGAGTTCAAGCTTCCAAATGAAGGAATGAATAATTGGAAACTACTCAAGACTTCATGTGTACAAGTGAATGACATAGCTGATTTCAGTTAAGACATTATAAAGTAGGGATGGGGGTCGTGGGGGGGCATGGGAGAACTGGGGGAGAAGGAAGAACTGGGATTGGCGTCTAACATAGGATTTTAGGTTTTAGATTTTTTAACTTAAATAAAAATTTATTTTCCTAAAAAAGTAGCAGTCACCCAAATACAGAAAGTGGGAGTTCTATATAGTAACTGGTTAAGGTAGGGGGCTAAGGAACAGAAGGAAGAGACTGAGGAGGAGGATGGTGATATGACTCAGTGGGTAAGGGCATTTGCCAGCAAGCCTGCCAATCTGACTTTTCTCCCTTGGAACCCACAGAATGGAAAGAACCAACTCTTTCAAGTTGACCCCACACACATGCCATGGCATGTACTCACGTGATTGCATATGCACAGAAAATAACTTTAAAAGCCATTTTAAAAGAGAAAGAAATCCATAATTACTTAGATAAGCAAGTAATAGATTAACCCTTGTTGAGATTATGATTTTTAAAAATCAAGAAAAAGACATGTTATAAACAATCAGAGAAAACCTTGAAGACAGGATTTGATGATATTGAGAAATAACGAGTTTGAGGTTTCAGGAGAGGGAATATGAATTTCCTAAAATTAGTGGCTAACATGATTACATAAAAAAATAGTCTCAGACTTTTTAGAGGTTAAAAATGAAATGACAGGTTTGAGATTTGTTTTAATATACTCTGAAAAAAATAGAAAAGAAAAAAATCATTCCATAATCCCAGCACTTGGGAGGCTACGCCCAAAGGACTGCTGTGACTTCTAAGCCAGTGTGAGATAGGGTAAGACCCTGTCTTAACAAACAAGCAAGGAATACAAACAAATGGGGGGTGGGAATAAAGTAGAAAAGTTTGCAGACCAATGTTGATGATCCTTGGGTGATGAGTAAGCAATGGGCATTTGGAAGTTATGGTAACTACTTTGTAACAAATTTTCTTAACCCAATATTAAAAGGAAAACTAAATGGCACAGATCTTTGGTGTGTCAACCTTGAAATATGAATTATTTCCTCTTTTTGTATCTCCAGGCTGTGACTACCAGACTGTGGGTCTTTGGGCCCACTCTGTGTCCAACATAGTTCAACATCCTGAAATCTAACAGGCATTGCCTCTTAAACCTCTAATCTGAGATACAGATCCTACTCTAAGTAGAAATGGGAAGATATTCATCAGAAATCCACAGAACTATAAGGTCACCGTTGATCTGGAGTTGCTATAGTTTCCATGGTTGGTGTGTGTGTGTGTGTGTGTGTGTGTGTGTGTGTGTGTGATTGGGGGTGGGACAGGTAGGAAGGTCTGATGTTGTGTATCTTGCCTAAGGGAGGCTCCTAGCTAAGAAGAGCATTATTGAAGACACTTTTTTCAAATAGTTGGGCACCAGGGACCACCAGTGCTCAGACTGTCTCACATCCTAGGTGAACTCATAGAACCACCTATCTCCTGATCTTTCCCTAACACACATCTGCTGACAGTAGTTTCTGTCCCACCTGGTCCCACAGCTGTTTAGTCCCAAATAAACACACAGAGGCTTACATTAATTCTAAATGTTGGCCAATTGCTCAGGCCTCTTATTAGCCAGCTCTCTCTTAATTATTAACCCATTTCTATTCATTTGTGTGTCCCCACATGATCTTGGCTTACTGGTGATGCCCAGACCTCTTGTTTCCTCAGCAGCCACATGTCGTCTTACTCTCTGCCTTCCTCTTCCCAGCATTCTCCTGGTTTGGTGGTTCCACCTATACTGTCTGCCTGGCTCCATCCTGCCCGTCCATTGGGCGAAACAGCTCTACTCATCAACCGACAAGACAGACATCACACACCTGCTCTCCTGTGGTCCATGAGGCTACCCCACCACCCTCTTCCACCCTCTTGTGTAGCTGCCTTCCTACTGTTGACTACAAACAGATTTTCCTGACTGGTAGCGCAAGTACACATACTCTCCTTTTCTCGTGAATGGTGAGGCTCTTTAGATGGCACCATTTTAATCACTTTTTGCCTAACTCCATTTCCTGCTCAGTGGCACATGTTTTGTAGCACCAGTAAGCATGTGAGCCTACAGGAAACCAGCGGTTTCTTTCTATGCTGTGAGCTATTACAACTATCAAGATGAAAATGCCATATTTATATTTCCCTGTAATTTAGTCTCCATTTTTTATAGGCACAAAGTCCTCTAGGCACTGTCACAAATCCATCCCCATAATGTCCTTGAAATGTACACTTTGCATTTAAAACCAAGATTTAGCTGACTGTTGGGGAAAAGCATGTTACAAGTCTGTGCCTGGTGCCTGTGAATGTGGCTCAGCCAGAGACAACCTGTGTGGATAGCTGTAAGGCTCAATGTTGCTGTGGTTCCTTTTAGCTTGGAAGAGATATTTTTCTTTTCTGGTCCCCACTGGCATATCTGACTTCACTTACATATGGAGAAAGGGGAATCCTCCAATGTGTCTGGCTCTGTTATAGTACTATGGTGAAAGGCCTAAGGCTACCCATTCTCCCCTTCTGAATATGCATGCCCAGGACACTGAAATTATTTCTTTTTTTTTTTTTTTCAGCCTCTCCTGGGCTTTCTAAGCACTTTACTGCACTAATGGGATTCAGAAAGTAAAGGCTGCAGAACTCTACTGAGCCAGGGGCCCAGGCAGCTTCTAGAAGGAGAAAAGGCAAGGAAGTAAAATAGCTCTTTCAACTCAGACAAAAGAGAGAGAGAGAGAGAGAGAGAGAGAGAGAGAGAGAGAGAGAGAGAGAGGCAGGCAAGGTTTGACATGGCCAAGCAGGAAGACAACCAAAGTGTGTTCTACAAATCTCCATGAAGACAGAAATAGCAATGACCCTGCTGCCCTTGATTTCTAGGAGGAAGGGTGATGACAAGGGTTAGGTAGAATTTCAAACCAAACAGGTCTTGGGTTCCACACACACCTGCCCCCTACAGATTTTACAGTCGGGGTTTTACAATAGAAACTGTTGTGACCATGAGAGTGAGCGACATATACGAATCACTGGATAGTTTCCAGTCGATTTTCCTTCCGTATTTTTATTTGATTAATCTATTTTCTATCCTAGCCACAGTTTCTCCTCCCTCCTCTCTTCCCATTCCCTCCCTGCCCACCTTCCCTCTGCCCTCCCCATCCACCCTTCCTCCGTTTCGGTTTAGAAAGGGGCAGACATCTCACGGGTATCAGTAGAGCATGGCATAGCAAGTAGAAGCAAGACTCAGCACCTCCCCTTGTGTTAAGGCTGGGCAAGGCCATCCAGAATGAGTAATAGGCTTCCAAGAGCCAGCCAAAGCATTAGGGATGGCCCCTACCCCTATTGTTAGGAGTCCCACAAGAAGACTGAGATACGCAGCTGTCACGTATATGTAGAGGGACTAGGTTGGTTCCCTGGCTGTCGGTTCAGACTCTGGGAGGTCCTATGAGCCAGGTTAGTTGTTTCTGTGGGTTTTCTTGTGATGTCCTTGACCCCTCTGGCTCCTACTCCTTCCTCCTTTTCTTCAGCAGGATTCTCTGAGCTCAACCTAATGTTTGGCTGTGGGTCTGCATCTGTTTCCATCAGTTACTGGATGAAGGCTCTTGGAGGACAGTCATCAACCTGATCACAGGAGATGGTCAGTTTAGGCTAAGTATCCACTATTGCTAGTAATAGCTAAGATCATCCTTATAGATTCTTGGGCATTTCCCTTGAGTCAGGTTTCTACCTGACCCTGAAATGTCCCTCTTTCCAGACAGCTCTTTCAGTACTCTCCCTCTCCATCCATCCCCCAACCCAATTCCTTAAGTTCCCATCCTTACTCACGTCCAGTCCACCCAGGACATCTCTATTTGCCCTTCCCAGGGAGATCCATGCATACCCCACCTTGGGCCTTTCTTGTTACCTAGACTCTTTGGGAATAGCCAAAGCAAGCTCAATCATACAGGGACACTTGCTTAGCTATGTTCATAGCAGCTTTATTTGTAATAGCCAGAACCTGGAAACAACCTAGATGTCCTTCAGCCAAAGAATGGGTTACATTTACACAGTGGGGTATTATTCAGCTGCTAAAAACAATGGCATCAGGAAATCTGAAGGCAAATGGATGGAACAAGAAAGAATCATCCTGAGTGAGGTAACCCAGACCCAGGAAGACAAACATGGTATGTACTCACTCATAAGTGGCTATTAGCTGTAAAGGAGAGCCTTGATTTTATTTTTTAATGTGTGAACATGTACACACATACATGAAATCACTCCCATTCAGTCCCTTTGAATGTGAGATTTTGTAAGTTCCACGTATTCAGTTTAGATCTCCTTAAGAACAAGGACATATGAGCAATACCCCTGCTCCATATCATGT